ACTCACGGGTAGAAATCATTCAAACGATCGAGATTATGCAGTTATAATAGATGTATATATTATCTTATAACTCAAAATAATCAAATACATTATATCAATTTAGTATAAGAATTACTATATCAAATTTAACAACAAATTTATTGTTATATTAAAAAACATATATTTTTAAATATTTCAACTATATAGGTGTTTCTGTGCAACGCGCAAGCATTCGCCTAATCATTATCATTATATACTTATAAAGGAAGCATTTTTCTTTTCACCACATTCATTTGAAACTCCCATTACTTTTCAATTTCTTTATAATAATAATTATAATTTGTTAAATTAGGTTAAATAAATATCAAACCTAAAGTGTAATCATATATAAACTAAATTTCAATATTAAAATAATATCTTTACTTCTACTTACAAAATTATGTTTTTTTTTTAACTTTTAACATATTATAAATAATTTATTAGTTTTAATATATTGTTGGATGTAATACATTATCATTTTAAATGTATAATTTTGAAATAATTTTTATAAAATACTTAAATTATTAATTAAAATATAACATTACAAGGTCAACTTAAATATAAATTTTAGTTTAACTTAAATAACCCAAAACATATTTTTAAAATAGTTAAAAGTGATGAATTTTAGTGTCTTTCTAATAATGATTATAAGTTGGTTAATAAGGTTAAATAAATATCAAACGTAAAGTGTAATCATTAGTAGACTAAATTTCAATTTTAAAATAATATATTTACTTCTATTTATAAAGTTATGTTTTTAAAATTTAACATATTCTACTTAATTTATTAGATTTAAAACGTTGTTGTATGTAAACCATTATCAATTTAAAGCTACATCTTTTGAACAATTTGCACAAAATACTTAAATTGTTAATTCAAATATAACATTATAGTATGAACTTAAATATAAATTTCAGTTTCACTAAAAAAACCAAAGAACATTTGTAAATAGTTAAAAGTGATGAAGGCAAAAATTAAATTATAATAACAATTTAACTAATATATTTCCTAAAGATACTTTTATAACTGTTAGAAAATTTCAAATAAGTAGTTTGATTTAACTTACAATAACAATAGTTAAAAATAACTCTATATAAATGATTATATTTTACCTTTAAAATCAAAATAAATGTTTTATGTTTTAAATAATTATAATGATAGAAATTAAAACATTAAGCAAATAAATTTTAAAAAATTAGTTAACTATAACAACAACTATAAATAACATTAAATCATATATAATATTTAATTTTATTGATGTGTAACTCACGGGTAGAAGTTATTCAAACGATTGAGATTATGAAGTTATAATAGATGTATATATTATGATATAATTGTAAATAATCAATATAATATATCAATTTAGTATACGAATTATTATATCAAATCTAACAACAACGTTAGTGTTATATATATATATATATATATATATATATATATATATATATATATATATATATATATAGGGTAAAGTGAATATACCTAACAACCTTATATAAGCTTAGGTACCTAACTCCATAATACTACATCGGTTTGTATCACATTTACATTGTAATTGCCTAAGGTTCTTAAACTTCAACCCCATAACTTTATTACTTCCAAAATCTTTGGACTTTCACCAATATTTTTCTTTTACATCACATCTTTCTATTGAATACCGCCTGATAAGCTTCATATCCTACCGCTACAAATGAAATGATGTAGGAGAAATATAATGATGAATTTCCAAATTTTTTTTGAAGTAAATCAAGTTTAGGGATGAAGTTTAAGAACCTTGGATGATTGCAATGAAAATTTAATGCAAAATGACCTAGTTTGATGAGGTTAGGTACCTAAGCTTATATAAGGTTGTTAGGTATATTCACTTTACCCATATATATATATATATATATATATATATATATATATATATAAAGACTTCAGTTACATAGGTGTTTCTGCGCATTACAATGTCAATTCAAATATTTATTTTAGTTCCACTTAAAAAATAAAGAATATTTTGTAAATAGTTAAAAGCGATAAACCCCCTTTTTTAACTGAAGCTAGAAACCCCCTTTTTTAACTTTCTCAAACCACATTCATTTGAAACCCCTTTTTTTAACTAATGCAACCCAAAAGTTTTCTTAGTTATGATTTAACACTCAAAAGTTTTATAACTTATATTATGTTTAATTAGCATTTAGTGAAAAGTTTACTATAAAAAGGTCAATCTTTTGTGTCTTTTGTGTTATATAAAATCTTACATGTAAGAAGGATTTGAAGATATTGTGATTCAAAAGTTTTCATATAGTTAAAACATTCACGATCCAAATATGATGATTTGAAGAAATGAGTTATGTCACATCGATGGTAATTGTAATATGATTTTTTCTTTCAACCAAAACAAATGAAGCTTTTCTATTTTTTCTTTATATTCATTTTCTCATTTAATCTTTATATGTGATTTGTGTGTATTACTCAATCTTATATGTGACCCTCCAAACATCAATGTTTTGCTTGGAATATCTTTATGCTTCTTTTTTTTCAAGAAAAATATTTTAATTGCAGGTTAGTGAAGAATTGTCATCAAGTTTCTATGGTTGAATGGTGTTAAATGAAGAAAGAAGATCCATAAAATGGATATAGGTTTTTTTGTTTGAGCAAAGTTGATGAATGTCAATTTTTTCTTTTGATTTTTAAATGTATGTTTATGTAACATCTTTATTTATATATTCAACCACCCAATGCTCTTATTTATTTGATTATAGTTTTTTCATTTTGATTATGTTTATTTTCTATTATTTTTTTGTTGGGTTATCCTATATAACATATTTAAAAGATAACATAATTTTGAACATTTGATATGTAATTATGATAGAATTATCATGATATGTTCTTCGTGTGAAAGTAATTTATCCATATTACTACGACAAGAATTATATATAACATTTACGAATATATATATATATATATATATATATATATATATATATATATATATATTATGTGATTTGTTTAACATATATATGCACCTATGTATGTTATAAATTTATAATTAAATATATTTATGTTTAATAATTGAAGGGATTAAAATGATGCATCAAAACCAATTATTTAGAAGAATATAATAATAATAATAATAATAATAATAATAATAATAATAATAATAAGAGTAAATTACACGAATGGTCCCTATGGTTTAGGGTAATTTACGTGTTTGGTCCCTAACTTATTTTTTTAACTCGGAAGGTCCTTACAGTTTGTTTTTGTTACGCGCTTGGTCCCTGTCTTACCTAAAAATACTATTTTGCCCTTGATTTTGTAATTTATTTAAATAAACACACCCCCACCTCCACCCCCTCACCTTACCTTACATACCCTACAATTTTTCCCTATTTAAATAATAGTCTTTTTAGGTAACATAGAGACCAAGCGCGTAATAAAAACAAACAGTAGGGGCCAAGTGCGTAACAAAAACAAACAGTAAGGACTTTCCGAGTTAAAAAAATAAGTTAGGGACCAAACTCGCAAATTACCCCAAACCATAGGGACCACATTCATTTGAAACTCACACTACAACTCAAGAGTTTTCTAATTTATGTATATTTATTAGTTACAACTCAAGAGTTTTTAACTTATGATTATTAATTAGTAATCACTAATAACTTTTTGTTTTCTTTTCTTTTATAAGTTTGTAAAGTTTTGCTCATTAAAAATATTAATGTATTTGAAGAGATTTGTGATTTAAATATGAAGAGTTAATGTATATGTTATAATAGATATTTTAGTGTTTTTATATTATTAAAAGTTATACTGTTTATTTTTCATATTTTTTATATATCTTTTTTAATATAACTGTTATAATAGATGTTTTTTCTATTTTTATGTTACTAAAAGTTGTAGTTCATATTTTTGTTCATACGTTTTGTTACCCGTTATATTATCATTCATTTGATATATAATTTACACAATTTTAAACGGTTTACAAAATTATCAAATAATTATATATATCACAATGACTTAAAAATTAAACTATAATGTTTAATAAAAACTAATATGTTAACTATATGTTTGCTTTACTACTAGCATTTTGTTTCAAAGTAGAAATATTAAATAATAATTTGGTAAAAATTATTATTTTAACTATATAATTCTATTCTCGCGCAACGCGCGGGGATTCGCCTAGTTATATTATAAAAGAAACATTTTTACTCTAACCATATTCATTTGAAACCTCTAACTTTTCAATTTCCTTTTAATTAATAAATTATTATTATTATTATTATTATTATTATTATTATATATATATATATATATATATATATATATATATATATATATATATATATTAAAATTGTCTACCCTTAGCTACAGTAAAGTGGCTAAGGGATTGATAGAAATAACCCTTCATATATATATATATATATATATATATATATATATATATATATATATATATATATATATATATATATATGGTTAGAATCGTAGGTCGTTTCTTTTAGAGGTCATTTTATATCATTTTGTAAATTCCTTTGTATACACGTGTCGTTTTCGATTTGCTTTACTTTTTTATCGACCAATCAGGTTTCGATTTCTGTATTTGATGTTTATGTGTGGAACTCTCTCTATTCCTCGGTATACTCTACTAGCGCCAGAAACCACTGCCTCATACCACCTCCTACCTCCGCTCAAGAAATCTCCATTAACGACCGTCTCTTCTTCTTCTTACCTCCACGAACTCCTACCCTAGAAAGTGGATTTCAGATTCGTCGGCCCCCACAAGCCCTAAAAGCACCCCACCGGTCGCCGCCACCACCACCATTCTTGATCCACTTCGACCACCACCGCCATCTCTAGTGTCTCCGAGTTTCCCACACAAGCTCCACCACATCCTCATCAAATGATCCGCCACCACCACCCTCTCTAGATCCACTTCGACCACCACCGCCATCTCCAGTGTCTCCGAGTTTCCCACACAAGCTCCACCACATCCTCATCAAATGATCTACGATCGCATTGCGGAAGAAATCAAATCAAAGCTTAAGCAACCCGAAAACCCCAAATCGATCAAACATCTGTCGATCACCGAAAAATGCAGCGGGGTCGTCCATCTGGTGGCTATCAGAGGCATCCAATCATCATTTCTTCTCTCACACAATTACATGCACGACTGGAGTGTTTTACCAATTTATCATCTACCGATGTCGACGTTTTGTAGACTTCACATCGTATCCCCTGTCGGCCTCCCACCACCTTTTGCCCCTGGTAATAATTTATTTATTTATTGATTGATTATTCGGTGGTGTTTTCACCCTTTTCTAGATTCATATTCAGGTATAAATGAGCAGTCAAAATTCATTAACTTGCTTTTGTAGTTTTAAGTGAAGTGGTTAGATAGTTAGATTCGCCATTCATACTCCTGCTTCAGAACCGACTTCAAAATTTTGTACAAATTAATTTGAGGTTTTGTAAATTGACAAGAATTCCCTTTTGTGTTAAATTTACAGATGTTGTGTAGAAAGCGGTAGAAATTGAGGACTTTGAAAAACTGGCTAAAGATCTTGAGAATGCTTCCCCACTTGAAATCATGGATAAAGCCTTGGAGAAATATGGCAATGACATTGCTATTGCTTTCAGGTAATCAATCATACACAATATTTTTTTGCTCCGACAAATTCTCTTACTTCTTCTCTCTTTAGAGTACAACTTATGTGAGACTTTAGGTTAAATTGGCAATGACAAATCAACTGAGAAAACTTTTGTCAACTTTAACTTTATATATTTTCTGGGAGCAAGTATGTGAGTCGTTATTTACTGTAGCTCTTATTGAGGGGAAATGGTGAAAGAAGTGGACAAGTTTCTTGGTTGTAGCAGGGGAAGGTAACTGCAACCCATGTGTTTCTCATCTTCATCATCGGTTATTTGAGTGTGTACTTATTTATTCATCATCTTTTCATATATCTAGGTTTATTCTAACAAGTTCATTAAACACGTCTAACAACAACTCCAAAATCAAGGGGAAACCCGAACCGTTTTTCGTACATGTTGGTTTTCAGCTTAGTTGGTTGCATGTCGGTTGAAAAAATGGTCTATAGAAGCTGTAATATGCTGAAGTGAAGTGCACATGAAGTGTTTGTGGAAATGCTCAAGAGAAGGTAAGATGTTTCTATTATATGTTGAACAGTTTGTCTGACCTACACAGATAATTACGTAACTTGAAAGACAATCTGAACTTAGGTTAATATTTTTTGTTTAACATATAAAATCAATAATCTTTTTTTGCTTGGTGTTATGCATGCCATTGTGGAGTGTTAGTTTAAAAGGTATACACAAGATTGTATCCATGAAGATTTGGCTTACAAAAGTACTCTGGAATACATAATTGGGAACATATGAAACACTATCTGAACTAAGGTTTACTAAATGATCTTTCTTAAAGATTTAAGGGATGTGTTTTTTCACTTAATGACCTTAGTGTGTAAAAAGGAAACAATGCCTTGGTCCTATTTTATAAAAATATTGACTTTTTCCTCAACATTTTATTAAACAGGGAGTGCAGACAGTATATGTGTACTATCTGATATTAATGCAAAGTTGTAGATATTATGATGGAGACGTGTCATGTGAATGTGAAATAGATTTAAATTTGGAAAATTTAAGCTCAAAATGCTTTGATTTTTGACAATCATAATTAATTAATCAATTTGCATGTGTTATTGATCATTTTCTGAATTTAAAGGTGTTTTTAAGAACTGGTACATAATTACATAAAGTTGGGTTATGCCCAAGTGAGACATATACATGCATAAAATTAGGGGCGGACGCAGGATTTCATAGTAGGGGTTGCACGGGAAGATTAGGGATTGAACGATAGTAGAAAAAATAAAAAATTTAAAAAATTTTGGAAAATTTTCCACTGCAGCCGGAAAATTTAGGGGTTGCCGGTGCCACCCCTGAACCCCCTAAATCCGCCCCAGCGTAAAATCTCCTTCTTTTACATCTGAAAAAACCATCCAATACACCAGGAGTTTTGATGTTCAAGTTAATCAGTTTGGAAGTTTGAAAGATTACTCAACAATGTGTTATGAGTTTTGAAGACTCTGTTTATGTTGTTGTTGTTGTATAACTGTATTATAGAACCAAATAGAGGGACTGTCAAACCGGATGATGTCGGTATGCAAATCTTCCTAATTTGCCTCTTTTTGTTGCCGAAAACCACGTTTTTGACCATTTTTATTGTCTTAGAAAAAGAAGAGGCAGGCGAGAATAAGGCATGATTCTGATGGCATGGTATGTGTTCTTTTGGTTTTTCTTGAATACACTTTCGCATTTTGAGTGTTCAAAAATCAATTTTATCCACTTTTCTGTAGATTTAAGTCATTTAACAGTAGTGTTATTGTTTAATCCAATTTTGCTAATTTTGTTTGGATCTGAGTGATTAGTGTGACCAGTGAAGTCAGTAACGTGTCACGATACACATACCGAAGAGCTTAGCAATAGAATTCACTAACTTTAGAGTGTTCATTCTTCATTTTCTTTTTTTTATTTAAAATGACCGTTTTCACCTTTTTGGTTAATTTTGTTATTCTTTCCAAAAAAAAATTTGGTTTCATAATTTGGCATGCTTAACTTGACAAAAATTACCGATATGAAACTTTTAAAACGGAAAGTTATCTTTTTTCTTAGTTTTTTTGTCAAATGATCGTTTTGCCATTTTTTATCCAATTTGGTCGTTTTTATTGCCTTTTTTTTCTTTCGCAATTTGACCCATTCAAACAGGAAAACAAAAACAATACGCTGATATGACGCTCTTAAAACATGAAATATGATTTTAATTAAAAGAAACGAATAGTATTGAATTTACAAATGAGTTTTTTTCAATTCATTAAATTTTATTTCTTATTTATTATTGTCCGTCAACTGAAACAATCAATAAATTGTCAAACTTGAGGGATTCATTTGCTTTCCCTAACTTTCTGTATTGAGTTGTAATTCATTCTACATTAAGTTGAACATAAACAACCATATATTGCATATATCAATATCAATAGCATACGACCTAACCTCATTCATTTACATATAAACATTCTTCTTTTTCCTGATTGTTTGATTGTTATATTATTCATTCATACGGGTTTTGACAGAGTGTACTCCTGAAAATGACATGCTCTCTCAAAAAAAGACGTATGCTTTTCAAGTGCATCAAGTACGATATTAGTCTTCAATATAAACAAACATAATGTTAAAATGCTCATTTACTACTTTTCCGTTTCTGTCAAGTGCAGGCCCTTGCATCTGAAAGAGAACTTATATTCATGTTACTCGACCCGAATGATCCAACAATGGAGCACATAAATTCCAATAATTTTCATAGCATATTTGTCGGTAAGAGAACAATGTTATTCGACTCAATTTGTTTGCATATTGTTGCATTAAATTCATTTTACTATGTATTTTTTTTTCAGCATCCATTGGTGGTACAAGATATCAAGTCATACATGTTACTTAACTGCTGAATTTTAAAACCAATAAAATGGAGTTGTTTTTTAAATATATTTCAAATAATGTGTGATTAATTGTTGGTTTTTTGGTTTCTTTCTTTCATAACTTGATGTGATAAATTCGAATTCTTTTGAGTATCCTACTGTAACCCTTCATCAACTTGATTAATATAATGAAATGAATTTGTAACCCTGTCTATTGTCTATCTCTAAACGCACTCATTCCACATGTACGACACAAATACTTCACAAAAACATTCTGTTCCTTGCGAAGCAATGGATACCCTTCTAGTTTATATTATTATTGTAATTCAAATAATAATTATCCATTCTTTAATTTCAATATAATATACTTAAAATTTTCATTTACACCTACAGTATCTAATTATTAGTCTAATACACTTTATTTGTGATTTAAAATATGGTGATAAATTTAAAATTTAATCAAAATGTAAAATAAAATTTTGAAGAAAACTATCCAAAGACTATATGTGTAAAATAGTCAAGAACATAAAATATAATATGACATATAAAACATAAATCGAAATGCCAAATTAACAAAAAAAAAAATTATCAAAACTATTTTTCAAAAGGTTTTTGAAAAGATGTGTTTTTTTAATTATTTCAAATAAAATTTTAAATAATACTATTAAATATAATTTCTAAATTCGAATGTAAAATTTTCCATTCTAATAATATTATGATATTATCTTAAAACATTTCCATCTAATGGTAAAAAATAACTATATTTTCATGCACAACGTAAAGTTCGTGACTATTATGACATGAGTTTAAAATGTATATGTTTTATCGTATAATTAGTATTATTATAAGGTTTTATAGGAAAAAAAATTAGTGTAAGCATTTTAATCCAACATTAATAACAAGGATATAGTTATTTTTAGTAACATATATTCATCAACATTTTCATTACATTATTGTATATTGCGCATTTGAAACTCCTATGACTTTTCAATTTTTTTACAATAATATTATAAATAAGTTAAATAATATTATATAAACAAGAAATTGTGTTTTATTATACTGTCTTCATCCCACATCGATAGTGAGAGTAAACAAGTGAACGTTTCCTCTTCTATAAATAGGAAAGGTTGTGAAATGTTTCAAATGAACCAAACCATGAGAACTTCTACATGTCTACCTCTGTAGGAATTTAAGGGCATTATTTGGTGATATTGTCTATATTGGTAAATGTCAGTTAAGTTTTAGAATTTCAAAAATGGGTTTGAACCATATTTTTCAGGTTCAAACCGTGTTTCAGAAGAAAAAAAGTTATGTAGTTGGGTATATTGAGTTGAAACAGAGCTGAATCAATTTGGACCGATAAAGGATTCATTTTCCTTTCACCACATACATTTGAAACTCTAATGATTTTTCAAATTATTTTTAATAATATTATAAATAAGTCACATAATATTATATAAATATAAAAAACATCTACCTAAACCTAAAATTATAACGTTTTTAAAAAATCACTTTGATTCAAAAACATGAAATATATACAAACCGATTTTCACTAGATTCTTTTTAGTTTTGGTATATTGAGTTTGAATTGGTCCGAGTTTTATCAATTTGGACCAATAAATGAAGATTTTTCCTTTCACTGCATATATTTGAAACTCCAATGATTTTTCAAATTGTTTCTAATGATATTAAACATATTATAAATAAGTTACATAATTTTATATAAATATATAAAAAAAACATCTACCTAAACATAAAATTATAATTGTTTGAAAATTCGATTTGATAAAATGCACGAAATATATACCCAGATTATATTTATAAATGAATTCTTTTTATAATGAATTTTTGAATCATAAAAATACATATAAATAAACTTTCTATATTAAGTACCTTATTGAATTTATATTTTTAGAATTTAACAAAAAGTTATTCAATAAAAACTTATTTTTTTTGGACAACAACTTACGTAATTATAGAAAAATGGAACTACTGAACAATAAAGAAATAGTAAACAAGAGAAAGGGTGTTTTAATAAATAAGTTAAATAATTTTTTATAAATAAGAAAGTGCGTTTTATTACACTGTCTTCATCCCACATCGATGGTGAGAGTAAACAAAAGAACGTTTCCTCTTCTATAAAGATGAAAGGTTGTGAAATGTTTCAAATCGACCAAACCTTGAGAACTTCCTTATGCCTACCTTTTTAAGATGTTGAGGGTATTCTTTGCTAAGATTGTCTTTATTGGCAACTGTCTAGTTAAGTTTTAGAATTCAGAAAATGGTTTTGAACATGATTTTTTCAGGTTCAAACTAAGTTTCAGTTCTAAAACCGTTATGTAGT